AACACACTGCTGAGAGGAGCAGCAGGTGAGCCAGGATAGGTCTGCTGCACCATGTGGGTCACCTCCCTGGCCAGGGATCGAAGTCATGCTGCAGTGGCCGTGGACAGCCCCATAGGTTGCGTCCCAACCCCTGCGCCACCCGGGAGGCCCTAGCACTGGATTCTATCTGTGTATCTACCGACCAATATAAATGTATGTATCTATATCAATCTGATCTATTGATTGATAGATACGCAGACACATTGTCACTTATTTAGGCAAAATTTTCCCAACTAGATTGGAATTTTCTTATGGACAAAGATTTCTCTGTTGTATCTCCCATAATGCCAGACTAGTGTTAGGCAGACCAGTTTTAAATAGTGTGTTGCCTAACTTGAACTCTACAAATGGACATAAGTAAAAATTCAATGACTTATGAAGTTATTTGCTATATGAAAAACTGAGAGTATAGTAATGAACCAGCTCTCCAAAATTGTCAGGTTAAGGCCATGCTACCAACACGATCAGCCAGCTTAAGGAGGGTCTCCGTTGTAGTATCCGTGAGCCCCTTGCCAACACATTGGCATTCTGGAATCAGACCCAGGTTGTTTATAAGTACTTGGCCTGGAGTTATTCTGTAAGCATCACATGGTGGCTCCTTCACTGCTTGTGTCTGAGCACTTGCTAGGGCCAAACTATGTATTCATTTTTAAACACATTTTAGCCAATTATCAAGGAAAAGTATCACCCTATTTCTCACATGAGAGAACTGAGCTTCAGAGCCTTATCTCAGGGGCACCCAGTGATTAAGAAATGAAGAGAGGGGCCTCCCCTGGTGGCGCAGTGGTTGAGTGCTGGGTTGCGAAGCTGCCCACAGCCTCTGCAGCGCTGGTTCGATCCCCGGCTGCCGGCGAGGGTCCCACATGGCGCGCAGACCTCTCCTGCAGCCCGCTGCTCCCCTCAGCAGTGTATTTCATCAGTCTGCCTGTTCTGTTCTCCGCTCCGGCTCTGGTGAATTCTCTCGCCCTCCCACGCTTCTTACTATACCCTGTGCTTGTATAAATAAATAAAAAAAAGGCAACATTTAAAAAAAAAAAAAAAGAAAGAAATGAAGAGAGACCTAATCTTTCTCAACTGCCAACCTCAAGCAACAGACTGGAGGTCTGGAGCTCAGGGAGGAAGGGCCATTCCATGGCCTAAGGGAAAGCCACTTCTCAGTTCATCTTAGCTGCTTTTTCCTTTCAGGTCACCAGATTTTTTGCACAATTGGTTTCCAGTCGGATACCTACAAGGAGATTATGCTAGGTCAGTGGTCCCCAGTGTGGGGTCCCTAGGAAATGAGGAGGACCCCACAGAGAAAGTTTGAACCTTGAGTAGGGGCACTGGCATACAGCCTCTGAACTTCTGCCCTATTACCAGGAGTTACACCAGCTTCCTCAATTACACAAAATGATAAACAAGATGCCCACATCCTGCCAAGCTGGTGTTGCGGGAACTTGTTCACCTTCTCATCCCAGGTGACTGTGTGGGCAGTAGGGAAGTCTATCCACATTATGCCTTTATGTTTAGGCCGTTTGCTCTCAGCTTAACAGGATCTGAACTTAGACTCATGGGTGAAGTCCTGATGAGGCGGGGACAGAGAAAGATAGGAGTCCGTACACAATACCATGTACACTAGTGCATTACTTAACGACTCTACAGGACGAGTATTACAGGGTATAATAGTATTAAATAGTATTAAAACAAGGTGCAGGGTGGCAAGAAGTGAGTAAGGTCAGAATTAGCATACCTGGAGCAGGGGTTTGAATCAGGCCCCGGTTTCATGGAACAGTACCTGCCCCACCAGAAGCAACCCCTCCCATAGCACAGATGACCCTGAACCTCAGAAGCTTCTTTTCCCCCAAAACATTGTCACTGTCTATGAGGCCTTCCAGAATCTGTGTTCACAACGCCAGGGTCAATCTGTCTATTTTTTACCTAGTACCTAGTTTGCTATCATCAGTCTATTTATAGGATGAGAGATAGGCTCAGACAGAATCAAAGAAATGGGAGAACAAAGCCCACACCTTAGATCTTGGGCCCAGGGCCTAGTGGTCAGTGGAAAAACTTCAGGGTAAATACCTCTGACCCCATTAGCCACGGTCCTGAATCTCCTCACTGAATGCAGCTTAGCGAGTGCGCCAGTGACCTAGCACGGGTGATCACACAAGGTTCTTATTGTCTTTAAGCTTAAGTCAAGATAAATGCTGGCAGTGGTTCTGATCCTTCCTCCTCACCCTGCCTTAAAGAGAGTCATCCTTGATTTTAAAAGGACATACAATCTATTGTTCCTCTACCTCATCATGTTTCCTGAGAACTGGGTCATCGTTGGTGAAAATCTTAGGGAATACACTAAACACTCCTCCAAAATTCAACCCTGCCATTCTTTTCAAGGGCTAGGGTCCGAGCTGAGGTGCCAAATTATATAAAATTAAGACTCTCTTCTGCATAACATAAAAAAGAGTCAAATGAAATCTTCTGCCTACCAGCCCCCATCATTCCTTGTGGAAGTGGCAGCAGATAGTCATGTGGAGGAAGGGGAGGAAGGGAAATAACTTACTAGAAGGAAAATAAGGCAGGAGACAGGCTGTTCGAGGAAGCAGATTGTTTCGTGGAAATAGAGACAGTAAGAGAAGTCAGACTTCATAGATTATTCTTGAAAATTGGGGAGGGGCAAATCTCCCAGAAAGAAAGGGCAAACAGAAGAGTCTCTGTATTTTTCCCTGAGGGAAGCAGGGAGCTTTCAACTAAGAAAACTGTGTGAAATGAAGCAGCAAGCCACAGACTGACTATAGATGTGAACTTCACTCCAGCAAAATGAAGCTAACTGCCCACAACCTCCAGCTCATAAAAAAGCACCTTTATATATCACCCTGGGGACTAATGTTTACTCTGCAAGCGCTAGAGGAAAAAGGCAGGCACAGGAGCCAGGTCTGGGCTGGGAAGCGTTTGGTGTCATGGTGGTGATGAGGTAGTGCTCTGAGGCAGCGCTCTGAGGCCATATTGCCCAGGGAATGCTCAGGGTGAAATTATGACTGAGGGAACACCACATATCACCCTGAGGCAGCGAGGGAGGCGCTGGTAACAGAGTAATGAAGCACCGACAGGAGTAGTGCCTAGTGGACAGAATATGTCATCAAGGCTGAGTGACGAGAATGCTGAGACAAGAAGGGATGATGTCAAATATGGGAGATCAGAAACATAAGACCCTTGGAAAGTGTGTGTCAGGCCCAGCTGTGATGTCTCTGTGAGTGGTGGGGAGAGCATCAGAGGGTGGACGGCTGACCCAGTGGCAAGAGGCAGAGGAATAGCATTGGCCTCCTGGGCGCCCTATTAGAGCTGGGCATATACCCCAGACCTGTCTGTCCACCTGGAGGAGACCCAGGCAGCCACGGTGTGTGCTGACCTGCCTATCTAAATACTTGGTATCCAAGGGTGTAATAACATTAAAGTGAAATCATATTATAATATTAAAGTGAAATAATAATAAGAGTGAAATAATATTAAAACAAGAGTTTAGACCCACGAAGGACTAAGGATGAGTACTCTGAGTTATTTGCTTGTAGAAAACAGAATTCCTTGTTCATTTAGATCACTAAGGATCACTAAGTGGCAAGAAATTTGCACAGAGGGCCTCCCCGGTGGCGCAGCGGTTGATCGCTGGGTTGCGAAGCTGCCCTCAGCCTCTGCAGCGCCGGTTCGATCCCCGGCTGCTCCCCGGCCACCAGAGGAGGGTCCCACATGGCGCGCAGACCTCTCCTGCCACCCGCTGCTCCCCTCAGCAGTGTACTTCGGTCCTTCTGCCTGCTCTGCTCCCCACTCTGGCTCTGGTGAATTCTCTCACCCTCCCGCGCTTCTGACTGTACCCAGTGCTTGTATAAATAAATAAATAAATCAAAAAAAAAAAAAAAAAAAAAGAAATTTGCACAGAAATGACAGCTATTCAAAACCTAGAGTTCCCTATTTGAGGAAAGGAAAGGGACAAAGAGCGATAAAAGTAGCCATTTGCACCAAGTGTATTTCACCTTTATAGCAACTGCAGGGCTGGCATTATCACAGACAGGACATTATCACAGACAGGACAACAGGACACAGGACAGGACAGGGCTGTAAGGACACGCACCGGGCAGCAGTCCTTGCTCCACAGAGCGGTGCGAGCCGAGAACTCCTGCTTTCCTGATAACCAAAGCCCACACTGATTACCACGATTAACCAGCTCATGACTGGCTGAAGATTTTATAACTGCTTACTTGTACCTGATCTTAAAAGAAGACACATACGTTGATTAAATCATTTCCTTGGCCAAATGCATTTATTTACTAATAAAGGAGTTAGGACACACTATACCAGTATGTTCAGTTTAAAGTAAGGAACGCAGAGCGGAGCCGGCAGCCAGCCAGGCCATGATTAGCGTCACCTTAGCCTACACAGGTTTCAAAGAAGAACAGGGAGAAAAGTGTCTTCCTTTCAACCAACATCACAGATGATTTTCTTCCAGGTTAGTTTGGAAGCAGGTAGATTTTTCAAAGAACTGCAACAATCGCGTGCCCTGAGTGCACTCCTGAGCTTGCCAGCTTAGAAGGAATGGCTTGGAAGATTAGGCATTTGCTGAGGTTTTGATTTGTCAACATTTCGCAAGCCGGTTACCTCTACTCTGTTTGACCCAGTGGAAACATCACACAGATGCAGTTTGGGATTGGACGTGAGGACGGTATTGCAGGGGCGGGGTGCAAGAGCAGGGTCAGCCTTCGCTCCAGCCTCGCCTCCCCTCTGCTCCAGGCCACACCCAGCAGGAGCCGGCGTGGCTCTTACCCACCAGAAGCAGCCCAGCCCCCTGGCGCTCGGGGGACCCGGAGAATGGGGGTGCTTGTGTTACAGCCGGAACAGTCTGGAGGCGCGCTGTGGAAAGGTGTTGCCCCATGGGACAGGGGTAGGAGTGGGGGTGGGGGGGAGGGGGGCTGGGGGATACGGAAAGGCCTCACCTTGCAGCTAGGATCGGTTAGTGAGCCGCTTGACAAGTCTGCTTTTCACCTCCCTGGTCCCGCCGGGTGACGAAGGGTTTTGTTTTTGTTGTTTTTAAAGAAGCAGCCAGTGCCTTCCGGAGAGAGCAGCTGTCTGTGCTGGCAGCTCTTTCTGACCTTGAGTAGGGGACGCCCCCCCTTAAGTCCCGGGCTCAGAAGCCACAGGTCACCCCTGCCGAGGGCGAGTGTCCCGCCTTTCCTTACACTGGAGGACGAGGCTCCCGGCACGCCCGTTCTTTCAGGGCTCCGGGGCGTCTCTGTCCTTTCTAAGAACTTCGAAGGTCCCAGTAGCTATACTTTTAAGTGACTTTCACGCAGCATTTTTAGGATTTTCCCGACAAGAGTTGGTTCGCGAAGATAAACTGAGGCGACGGGAAAAAAGCGACCTGGGCCCGCGGCCGCCGGTCTCTCCCCTCGGGCCCCGCAGAGCCGAGCGCGGGACTCGGGGGCCCCTGGTACCTCTGCGCGGCGTCGCCACCTTCGGATTTGCCAATAAGGGGGGGCGCTTCCTCCCGCCTCCCCCGCCCTCCCCCGCCCCCCGCAAGTCCTCCGTTACAAACCCAGCTTGGGCTCCGGGAGCAGCCTTCGGGGAACCACCAGGGCCCGAGGAGCGCCCGGTGAGCGACCCACGCCCCCTCCGAATCCCCGACCCGGAGCCCGCCCTCCGCCCGGAGTCAGCCGCGCCGCCTGAGGCCCCCCCTCGCGACCCCGAGGCGCGGAGAGCCCGTCCCCGCGCCCGGCGGAGCGCCGCCTCGTCCCCGCGACCAGGTCCTCGTCCCGGGGGAGGCTGCGACAGCCGCCGGCGAGGCCGCCCCTGTAGGCACCCCGCCGCCTGCCCGGCACGCGCCCGCGCACCCCGGAGCGCCGCCCCGGCCACCTGCAGCCGCTGGGGGAGAAGGAGACACGCGGGCGGGCGGGCGGGGGAGGGCGCTGGACCCGGCCCTGGGGGTGCGCGGGGGGGATGCAAGAGGACGAGGGGCTAACGGAGCCCGGGGTTGGGGGCGCGGGAGTGGGGGAAAGGCAGGCGCAGCGGGAGGCAGCGAGCCCAGCACGCGAGGAGAATGGCTCCGGGCACAGGAGGCTCCAGGAGATGCCGCACGCACGGGGCGCAGAATGAGGGGGCGGCACCTGGAGGCCCAGCACTGGGGCGCGGGGCGGGGGGCGGGGGGGCGCCGCCCGGAGTCGGGCAGAGGTGGCACTCGCCTGAGGAGGGCTCCCGCGTAGTCCCAGGCGCTCTCCATTGCCGAGTCCCGGCGAGCACCGGCCCTTCCCCGCCGCGCCGCCTCTTAAAGCTCAGGGGCCGCCCCGCCCCGTCCAGCCTGCCCCGCAGGCCTGACCAGCGCAGGGCCAGGACCTTGGCAGCCCGCTCGCCGCTGCCCAGGGCTGCAGCTTGCGTTTTGGGAGCGGGTCCACGCCCCTTCAGGGGCCCTCGACGGGCGTGGCTCTTTGAGACAGCTGCAGAAAACCGAGCTCCTGATCCTCGAACCCCAGACGCTTTGAGTCTCTTGTCACCCTCCTGTTTGCCACACAGTTTCTGGGGGCTGGGGCGGTTGGCAACATCACCTCCCTGGGAGGCATGGCCTTGGCTGTGGAAAGGCTGATGAGTTGTTTTTAAAACCAGACCGGGCATGAGGAGAGTGAGGCGCAGGATGGGTGCATCTGTTGCCTCAAGACCACGCCTGGCACTGGAGCTCCCTATACCGAGGCTCAGCTCAGCAACACAGCTGGCTTTTGTGGAGGTGAGGAAGTCTTCTCAGACACCCGGACACACTGCCCTGCAGGTTCCTGGGAGCACCTTCACTTCCCCTTATGTTGCTTCTGAATTGTATGGTGGGGTTGGGAGACTGTAAGAAGAATGCCCCAGAATTAAGGGGAAAGGAACCTTTCTGACTTCATTACAATCTTTTAGCTGTAGTGAAGGGACTTTCTCAGAGTAAGGGAGGCAAGAGAAAATAGAACCAGGGTGGAGGGGGATTCTATTTACCTGTTGCTTGCATTAAGGTCCATATTGGAAGATGCAATTTGGCATAGTTTGGCCCTCTGAGGGAGTGGGGTGGGTCATAGAGCTCTTAATTACAAAACTGAAGCAGAAGCCTCTTTAGCAGGTTAAGGAGTGGATTAGTCCACTAATTCCACTCCTTTAAAAAGGAGTAGAGCTCTACTACTGCATGCTCTCCGGTACAGTCAGGAGACTGTTTCTATGAATTACTAGTGACTGCGACCTGTCTTATTGTTAACTCTGTTAACAAAGAGATGCAGCTGAACCCCCGCATCCCTTCCTCTGACTCCGCCTGGTTTTGGTACATTGACTTGATCATGCAGCAGCAGCCTGCCCTCTACCCCAACTTAGCTCCCAGAAGCAGGCACACATTTCTCCTGTGTGGGGGTCTTGGTGTGAACAGCCTCACTTAAGTTGTAGGAGTGTTGAAGCCAAAAGCAATTTCCTTCTAGAGTCCTGGACTCCATCCACTGGGACCTGCTGGGAACTTCCTGGCCCCAGGGCTCAAAGAGGGAGTGTTCTCCCTCCCACCCCCCACTCAGGTCATTACCTGCCTTTCCCACTGACACAGTGCTGTGGCCTGAATGTTTGTGCCCACCCCCCCCCTTCATATATTGAAGTTTGAACCCTCGGTGTGATGGTTTAGAGGGAATGCCTAAGGGAGGTGCTTTAGCCAGGAGGGTGGAGCCACATGATTGGGATCAGTGTCTAATACCAGCTGTCTGGAGACATCTCTTCCCTTCTGCCATGTGAGGACACAGTGAGAAGGATCCAGTTATGAACCAGGAGGAGAGTCTCTTTAGAACCTGCCCATGTTGGCACCCTGACCTTGCATTTCCAGTCTCCAGAAATGCAAGTAAAACATTTCTGTTTTTCATAACTGCCCAGTCTGTGGTGTTTTGTGTCCCACACAGACTAAGACCCTACACAAACTAAGGTACAACCCTAATTTTATCGATGAGAAAAGGAGTCTATTCAATTCAACTCACTTTTTAAAAAACTTTTCATTGGGCCTCCCTGGTGGTGCAAGGGTTAAAGTCTCAGCCCTATCAAGCTATCGCCAGTTATTGTAGCATGAATTTGATCCCTGGCCACGGAGCTCACCCACATGGTGCAACAGACAGGTCTGCTGTCTCTCCCACTGCTCCCCTCAGCAGTGTATTTCAGTAGATCTGCCTGTTCTGCTCCCCACTCTGTCTCTGGGGAATACTCTCAGCCACACCTCTCCCACCCCCCAACTCTGACCTACACCCCAGTTCTTGTATGCACAAATAAATAAAAACAAAACAAGAAAACTTTTTATTGTGAAAATTTTCACATACAAAGACACTAGAAGGACCATCTCATGGGTACCCCAAATCCAGATTCAATCATTTAAAATTTGACTTATTTCCTTGTACTTATCTGTGCTTGTATCTGAACCCTTCACATGAAGTCCTCACCTGGCCTCTCTGAATAAACAAGATTACCAAAATAATCTCCTAATAGCACAGAATAGTCAAGCTCACCAATCATCCTGACTTATTGGAAGTGTGTATAAGGCTCTGTATACCCATTCTGGAGCAAGTGAAGGTCAAGATCACAGAAATTCTCCTACATGAATAACCAATCAAAGCAATAAATGTTATTCATTTCCTTATTCATTGGTCCTAGAGACAGGTAGTACAGCTTGTTACTGACTGGCTGAATGCCGTGTCAGCGGTTATATGTGAATGCAAACTGTAAAGGAAACAGTAATAAATTTTGCCCAAGAAGTGTCATCCAGTAGGGATATTGGAGCTGAGAATTGAAAGATGAGGGAGGTGAGTGGTGTTTAGGGGTAGCTGTGACTATGCTGCATTGTTTTAGGAAGAACAAAGGCACAGAGGGACGTCAGCGTCACATAGAGCCATCCCAGGTGGATGCACATAGAGTTCTGGAGGACGATTGTTGGAACCAACTGGGGCAGCCATGTCAGAACAAATCTGCACAGTACCAAATGCACGGTGGTTGCTGCCCTTCATGGGGAACTAGGGAGGTGGTCGGAGGACCTGCTCATATGTAGGTTTGAGAAGACCACTTAGGAGTGGTATGACTGAACTAGAGCGGGGTGCCCTTAGGCAATCCAAATAATAGATGTCAAGGGTAAGACCTGGCCACTGACACTAGGCATGGAGGGGTAAGCACTAGGGAAGATTTCACAGGAAGTGTAGATGAACAAGAAGGGGAGCAGCTGGAGATGGCTCAGCTTGGGTGACCAGAGAGGAAAGGACCTTATCCCTGAGATAAGAAACCCAGCAGCAGAAGTGAGTTTTTATGGAAGTTGAAATGGTTGAAACCCATGTCCAGGTGGGCCACGCTGGTCAGAGACATGGGCCGGCACTTGGGGAGAGGCTGGGCTGGATGCAAAGGCTGGTCAGCTACCCACCTGCTCCTAAGTGAGTATCTGTGCTCCTGGGCTGTCCCAGGAGCTTGTGTGGAAAGGGAAAGAAGGGCAGCGGTAATACTGTGCCCTAAAGGGCTTGGCTCAAAAGCCCCAGAGAGGGCTAGCAAAAAATGGGTAAGAGGCCGCCCGTGTTGGCCTGTGTTGGAAGGTTCTTGCCAGCACATTTCTCTCTTTTGGCGCGTGCACAAATAAACTTTCTTGTTTAACATAATTTAATATACCTTTATTCAGAAACTACCATGTTCCAATGCAACTGAGATTAGATAGTCAGCAAATCCAGTTTGTTAAATCAACAAAGGTGAGCTGACACCCTGATGAAGTCCTGACACAGAGCCCTCAGCAGGTGGCCAGAGTCTGACCTTCGTGAGTGCAGCCACGTAGGGAGCTAATGCTGCAGTTGGCTTACTCCTTCTGGGAAGGGGGCTCACTCTTCTCTCAGAGTCCTGGCAACTGATCAGCAGATCACTTGCTCTGGAACAGAGACACTTGAGGTCCTAACCTGGCCTTACCTCATTCTAGGTGGATGACCTCAGCAGGTCACTTAACCTGGCCCAAGCCTCAGATCATGTAAAGAAGCACAGGACTCTCTCTTTTGTAGGGTGGGGGATAACCATCCTTTAAGGGATGGTTATCCTTTAAGCACTAACCCCACACGAGTTAGTGCTGAGGCCACACCCATGCAGGTGATTAGATAGCTGGACTGTACCACCTAGCCAAGGGGGATTACCTAGCACGGAAGCTGCTTCTCATTTACCATGCTATGCTGTGTTATGGGGAACATACATATTTAGAACTCAAAGAAACTTTAGTAATCATCTCCTCCTATTTCTGTTTTTTTTTGGTAACAAAGCAGATAAAACAATGAACTCTGGATCCTGGTCTTGCTCCTTTCAGATTCTGTGACTGTGGGTGAGTTTTCTTTGTATTTCTTTTCTTT